GATGTACAAATGCGCTTTACACAATTGATGTGTGTATGGATTGCGATAACAGTTGTATGAGCCCCTAACAAAATGTTTAAAAAAAAAAAAGTACCAGTTAATAACAGGTTAAAAAAAAAATGTTTAATTGCTAGGAGCCCACAGACTAAGAATGTTTCCCCTGAATAGGGTGTTGTAGAATCTATGTGCTTGTCTGTTGCTTCACCTTCCAGCCCTCCCCCTCCCAATTCCTGGTGACTATCAAATTTGCTCTCTTTGGTATGGAAACCTTTATCTTTGTTTTTCCAATCTTTTTTAAACAGAGGCCTTATGCAGCATCTGCCCTCTTGGGATTGGCTCACTCCACTTTCCAAGGTGTATCCATGTCATGAGTTGCTTCATTGTTTCATCATCATCATCTTCAGGGGAGGCACATGATTCTATTACGGAGCCCTGGTGGCCTAGTGGGCTCCACGTTGATCTGCCAACCACAAGGTCAGCAGTTCAAACCCACCAGCCACTCCTGTGGAGAAAGGCTTTCTAGTCCCCTAAAGGTTTGCAATCTGCCCGGGCACTCCTTCCCTGTGCGATGGAGCTTTGCTGAGAGTGGGAATCCACTCGATGGCAGTGAGGTGGTTTTTTGGTTTTGTTTTGAGTACTCTGCTGTGTATCTATACCAGAGCTTCTCCATCCCTTCTACCGATGGGCATGTAGGGTTTCATCTTTCTGTTATTGGGAAAAGTGCTGGCATGGACATGGGTGTGCACATGTCTGTCTGTTATTACAAGCCTTCTTTCGGAAACACACCCAGCCAAGGGATGGCTGCCATAGAGGGAAAATTCCATGATCTTCCATTCCATATTCCCATGAATTTTCTCTTTAAAAAAGTAAGGGGCGGGGTGGGGGTGGGGCACACTAGAATTGTGATTGCACAACTCATTTTATTTGTTTATTTTAATCTCTTTATTAGGGGCTCATAGGACTCTTATCACAATCCATACATACATCAATTGTGTAAAGCACATTTGTACATTCATTGCCCT